ATCTGTGAGTTAGCCGTGCCCTGACTTTGATCAGCCCAGAGGTTGTTTCAAAGTGCACTAAAATTTGAAGTTTTTTTGTGCATAATGCTGTAAGCATTTTGTTTTCAGTTAGATGTATGCTACACAAAACACTTTCCAAAGTTTGCATTCCTGAACTTTATCACTGAATCAGCTGTGTGCTATAATGTAATAACATGAGGTTATTTATTGTTTCAGATTAAACATTCGTACAGAAAATTAAACATAGAACAATTATCCAGATTTGTTGGAATTCATGAAAGGCTATCAGTGGATGAAAAAATTGCATTATCTAAAGAATATATGAAATTACATAAAGATGGCCTTGAATTAGGTAAAGTTAACATATCTTAAAAAATCATTTTCTATTCTTTACTGCATGAAAATATTATTTTTAAAATTTTGACTGGTATAGATCCCTTACATGTGACATCAAAGCAGCTCGATACGGGGGACAAAACAAAAAAATTTCAATCTCCTGAGAATTGGGAACCTATTATTTTGTCCCCCAGATTGAGCTGCATTCTGACGTCCTGCAAGTAGGTATGTTTTGAAATGACTGGATGACGGCAAGGATGCATAATATTTGCTTTATATAAATTTTTTAAAAAAATTAATAAAAACTTTTTAAATTTCTTTTATATGATTTTTTTATTTGATTATTTTTGGCTCGTTTCATAAATAGGCAAGGATTTAGAACCAACAGTTCCTCAACACAGTGATGGGTTTGCATTACTTGCAGCACACTTACTGTTAGACGTCAACCAAGAGAAAGGTATACTAGTGACATGTTATTTATACCTTTGGTTATGGATTACCTTTAGTAAGACGCCTGTATGCCACAGGAAGCCCATCTAAAATGAAATATACTTTAGAGTAGGTTTTCTACTGGTTTAAATAAGGGCTCAATTGACTGCCCAAGTAACTGTTAACCTTATTCTTGGGGTGCAACCACGGCTACGCCTCGTGCTTGTATATCTGATACAACACGGCCACTCATACTGTATATATTACTAATAATATTAGTTTTTTATTTATTTATTTATTTTGTTCATTTTTTTTTAATGTAATAATGTTAGTTAGTAGTTTTCAGCTTTTTTCTTCTGCTGGATGTCTACAGGCACAAATGAAATGGTATGGCACCTCTTCATCCTTCTTGAGAGTGCACTAAAAGCCAGCCCATCTAACCATCACATCAAGATGTTACTCCTTAGGATCTACTCTTTAATGGGTATGCATGTTGTTATTCATTTTGTTTCATGGACGTATTAGTGGAGAGCTTGTATGCCAGGATCTACAGTATACTCAGAATCTCTAGGACCCACAATAACTACTATTTCAACACTTTTCCCTTCTACCTGGTAAAATGTATAAATTTGTTCTTTTTAGGTACAATACCATGAATCGAAATATTGTGACCAGTTTGAAAAGCTATCGTTCTGGACTGACTCGTGACTGACTAGCCTCTCTGTACATGTAAAAACGCTTTTATGTTTCAATGTAAACCCATGGCCAGTCAGTCCAGAACAATAGTTGCCTTAATTCTATTCGGTGTATGTAACAGGAATGCAAAGAGATTGGCTTAGAGTATTTGATTGTCTAGTTTGTTAACTGTCTGCCTACCTGATTGGTTGATTGATAGATATTAATCATGTTTATTTATATTTTGTTTATGCTAGGTGGTTGTGGCCCTTCCATGTCTTTGTTTGATAGGATGGAAATCAAACACATACAGCTAGACACATTAGGGTATGTTACTGTATCCACACTGCATCCACACTGTATCCACACTGTATCCACATTGTATCCACACTCTATCTACACTGTATCCACACTGTATCAACACTGTGTCCACACTGTAACCACACTGTATCCACCCTGTATCCATACTGCATCCTTGTTGCGTCCACGCTGTATCCACACTGCATCCACGCTGTATCCATACTCCTGCCATTAGAGGTTTGCACCATGCACCATCATCTGATTGCAGCCATGACAGGAGGCACAACAATAGTTTTTCCCTGGGGAATTTTTTTCTTGTACATTTAAAACCAGATTAGGCCAGCTTCAATTGTTCCTGTCTCCCAATATGGCTGCCACAACGTGATGGTGCAAAACCCTATTAATATAATATACTAACATGTAAATGATCTCTTCTTCTCCAGGTATCTTGCAACCCGATATTTATATTTCCAGGGACATTTTGAGGCAGCTCTATCACTCTACACTACAACTTTAAAATATTTCTTTGGAAATCAGAAAGATGTAAATAAAAACATTTCTTTTGGAAATTTGGTTTTATAGGTTTCAAGCAGAAAGCATTAAGCAATGATGTTTTGGCAGTCTTCATTTCTCTCAGCTCTCCATCTATTGTTTTTAGTGGACCCTACCCCTATTTATACTGGCTCCATGACAATATTGAATACTTCCTAACAAATACTGTCTGTGCTTACCTCTGCAGACCCCTGAATACTTTATAGCTGCTTATAAATATGGATCTTTTGAAAAGGTAAAACAACTGTACTGGTTGTAGATGTTAACAGTATAGATAATTATAAAGTGCTAGAAAGATGCATCGTCTGGATTTTGTGAACCCCCCTCCCCTTATTCAAAATCCTAGATCTGCCGATGCAAAGCACACAGTGCCAATGTGTGATGTCAAAGATGAATATTTACAATCCAACTCTGAGTTTACTCTGAGGACATAAATACTCTGAGACATTATTTCATTGGTGGTTGTCTAACATATAACTATAATATTAGAAAAGTTGATTTTTATGGCTTATTTTATTTGTTTTACTTACTAGTGCCGTATTTTTGCTTTTTTTAGATTCCAGAATTTGAATCATTTAGGACGCGCTTGAATTTGTCTGTGCATTTTTCAACTGTAACTTATGAGAAGTTAATGATGGAAACCCTGCAAAGAACAAAGAGGTATGTATGGCAACTCTTGAAAACTCAGATTTTACTGTAATAGTTATCCATCAGATGTTCAACAAATGGCTGTCATATGGTCAAAAGGGCATCTGGGATGCTGTTCCTGAGTATCACTAGAATTGGCTTTGACAAGTGACTATGTTGTGTTTTTAGCCTTGCAGATGCACAAAGTTATTTTGAGGAGAGTAAAATGATAGAGAAATGCTCTGCAACAAGTAAGAAAGGTTTTATGTTTTTGAAAGTCAAGATAGAAGCGTCATTCTTTTTTAATGCTTTGATAACAAAGAAAATATTACTACAGCATTTGCCTGCACACATTCAACAGTTTTCACATCATACATCATGTTTTGAGCAACTTAGGATCAAGACAGGTTGCTTGGGAAATGGGGTTAAACCAGATCTTAAAACTATTTTTCTAAACCTATTTATTTTTATTTTCTTAGAGGAATGGACAACTGATTTGAGAGACAACAGAGATCTTCACATTTTTGCAACATGTGACCCTCCTTATAAGTAAGTATAGATAGTTGAAATAGTTTAATTAATTATATGTCCTTAGAGACAAGTTTCGTCACCATAAAATGTACCAGGAGAATATTCCCGTAAATGAAAAGTAGGCGAGTTTTCACCTAGGTTTCGTCTTTGCCCAGGTCATTAACAAAAGAACAAGAGGTCCACTCCTTTGAACAAGAAGTAAGTAACCTACCAAGGGTGGATCCGGAAGGGGGGGNGGGGGGGATAAAGGGGGGGCTGAAACCCCCTTCAGCAGAAAACAAAACAAAACAAAAATGAAGGATTAGATGCTTTTTTCTTTTATTGTTTTCCGTTGTGTTGACGGAAGAAACTCAATTAGCCCCCCCCTAAACTCAATTAATCCCCCCCTAAAACTTTGGCTGGATCTGCCTTTGCCTACGCTGCATGTGTAAATTTTAAAGTACATAGAGTATTTGCCCTACAGGATGTTTGAAAACTGGATGTATCAGAGCTATCAATTTAGCTGCAGAGTAAATTAGTCCACATTCTTATTGTTCTTCGCCATTCTGTCATTCCCCACAAGGCTAGCTTTAAAGCTTACCATATATAAAAAGTTCTTTCAATTATTATTTATTGTGCTGTTATTTAAATCATCAGGTGTTTTGGATCAGATTAAGGTGCCTTATTCTAAGGGGTCTTGCACAGGCTGTATCTCTGGTCCAAAGACCAATGCTCAATAATGTGAAATCTGAGGAACCAGTGCCAATTACATCTTCTCTAGAAGAAACCATAGCTGCTTTAGAACAACTGTTGGCAGACATCGACAAGCACCCTGGCTTGCAGGAAATGGTAAATATTAATAGACACAACCAGGTGGTCTCGTTCGAAGCGCGCAAAGCATTATTTGTCAAAGCTAACAGTTCCTAATACCTAGTCTCTAATTTTAATCAAGACAATGCCGATTTTGCTTACATTTATTGCATTTATGCTTTGTTTTTATTAATCTTAATTGCTGATAGGGCAAGAAGAGCTTTTCTAGTACATGTTATATAGAATTTTTCAATGAGAAGTTATATTTCAGGACATATTTTAAAAAGGTTAACTCGAAATACAACTCCATTTTGAAGCCATCATGGAACTTTTGGCGATGCAACGAAAATGCTTCTGATTAGTTAATAGTAACCGGAAGTGCGTGCGCGAGATCACTTGGAAGTCAATCAAATGGGAATTGTTTGCACATCCTTTCAAGCCAAGAATGAAAATGAGGAGGAGGAGGATGATGGTGACCGTGATAAAGATCACACAATTTTACATGCAGGGTTATGACAATAGCAGTCATTATGGATGCATGCAAATGAGATGCAAATGAGACAAAAAGCATTGTATCTACCTGATAGCCTCACTTGTATGATTCTTAAAACAAAAGAATTTCTCATTGCAGGCTCAACTGTAATAACAGCTAATTTAGAAGTTGATTTTTGCAGAGGGAAGAAAACTGGAGAAACCCTCAAAGCACAAGAAAGAACAAGCAAACAATGACGCAGAGTCTGGGAATCGAACCCTAGTCACCTTAGAGAGAGGTGAGCTCTCTCAACTCTATGCTACCCATGCTTCTCATTATAATATTCATGATGATGGTATAATGATGATGATGACCATGGCATAATGATAATGATGACCATGGTATATGATGATGATGATAAAGATTGATGACGATGATGGTGATTCTTGATGACAATGATTCAACATGTTGGTCATGATAATAAAAAAAGTTTCTCATTATAGCACATTTTTACATTTCCATTTCCATAATAATTCTTATGTATCATTTTTCTCTTCCGTAGCTCCCTTTTCTAAGCCCTCCCCCATCCCACTTGCACACCACAAGGAAAGGCAAACATGGGAATGTTGTGTTGGAATCACTAAGGATGTGTCAGTTGTCAAGCCTGTTGCAACAAGGCTCATCAGGTATGTTCTCAAAGAATCATGATTACAATCTATTCAGTAGAAATGGGCTGCATTCAATGCGATGAATGAAATAAACTCTTGAGGTTGGTGGTTGGTGTGTAGTGCTGAACACATCAGACAGGGTAACCAAAGATGTGAGTTTGATTTCTGCCAGGGACATACATTACTTTTCTTTACTGTAATTTCCATAAACATGCGAACTCTGTGTCTGGACTGGAATACCAAAGACGTGGGTTCGATTCCCGCCAAGGGCATTTGATATTTTTCTCTTATTCTCTCTTTCATTACTCACACTGAACGCATAATTTATTACTACTGAACTCTGTGTCTGTGAGCTGCAAGCAGAAATTTGATTTTTTGCTGCCGTTAATCAAACCTAATCAGTTGATACCTTTCATATTTTTGACTGGCGGCAGCGAATAACCAAAATTTCAGCGTACAGCTCACAGACACAGAGTTTGCATTTTTAAGAAAATTGCAGTAAGTGTTTACAGTATTTCATTGTGACAATTAATCAGAAGAAAATGTAGCTTTTAAATGCTTCCACATGCAATCAACGATATTAAGGTATTGTGATTTTAATTCATAGAGAGCCAAGAAGACCACTGCAAGAAGATCATAGCTATTATCCACTTTATTACATACACCATTCAAGGTGAGGTGCTTGTGTTGGCAACTAGATGTACATGTACTTGATAGTAATACAAGTTGTCAATGATGAATGCATACAATCCAACTCTGAGTCCTACTGTGAGGACGCTACAAATTCTGAGGCAGCATTATGAGAATTAAACCATTTTGGTTGGTGTTGTACTAACTTACCAATAATCGATATTTTTTTTTCATTTAATAGATGATTTAAAGCTTTGTATCTCTAGTCTAACAGTGGAAAATGGTGAAAAACAAATGTTCAATGGCCACGCCCTGGAACCTTTAGTGCATCTGGTAGAGGTACATCTGATAAATCATAAAATTGTTATTATTTCAAACCAGTGCCATTGACTTTGTAGTAGATATATAGCTTATTAATTCCCATCCCATACTATATGAGTAGAGGGTCATTTTTCTCCTATATTCAGGCTAAGCAGCAGCTTAGAGGGACTAAAGAAACCCAAAAGAAGGAGTGTCATGGGTGGGTGGGGGGGCAGGGGCAGTCTTATAGCAGGGTAGTATTCAGGGAAGTGCACCCTCTCCTGCTATGGGGTGGAGTTGGGGGGGAGGGGGGGGGGGTGTTGGGGGTCATGCCCATGGATATTTTTTTCCTAACAAACTATTGGTACCTTGTGTCTTGAAGCTGTACTAAATTCCTAGCTTGTTGACACCTTCTGATTGATGTCTATTGGTATTTGTAATTTTCTTCTAATTTTAATGCAAATCAATAAACACCATTTTTAACTTAAACAAGGAAAAAAGTCCTCGCCAAAAATGGGTTTGTTATTTTCCTTTTATGCCGTAATAAGCTGCAGTGAAAAACATTGTAACTATCAATTAAAAATTCTTGCTTTTGAATAAAGCATCCTCACAGCTGCACACACATCTTGTAGCTTGCTTCTTCTTCTCACAGCAGAACTTGCTCACAGCTGTACACACAGCTTATAGCTAGCTCCTTCTTCTCACAGCAGAACTTGCTCACAGCTGCACACACAGCTTATAGCTTGCTCCTTCTTCTCACAGCAGAACTTGCTCACAGCTGCACACACAGCTTGTAGCTTGCTTCTTTTTCTCACTGCAGAACTTGTTTTAGTCTTTTAGTCACTTGGTTTTATTGACTTCTGTGAGTTGTTCCTTGCTACATAAAGTCATTACCACCAAAAAATCCAAGAAGAAAGGTCCAGCATCACATGTGGTAAGTATGTATTCCAGGAAACGCTGTTTATTTGTAACCATTAAATCATTTACACTCTCAATTTCTTTTTCTTTTTACAGGTAGAATTACGAGAGGCCTGCAAAAAGTACATTGAATTGTTAAAGAGCTCCTCAGCCGAGCTTCATTCAACTCTTGAAAATATTCAACTTACAGAATTGTCTAAAGATCTCTTGGAGCTTAGCCTCACAGAGGTGGATAAAGAGGTATGTTTTATTTTGTCTTTAATTTGTGGATAAATTTATCCAATTTAGAGAATTGTCTGTATACCACAAACGAATAAATGAAAGAATAAACAAATATATGAATGAATGAACCAATGAATAAATGAATGAACTAATGAATGAGCAAAGGAACAAAAGGGAAAAAAAATGATTGGATAGATGAATGAATGGTTGGATGAATGAATGGCTGAGTGAAGGATTTTCCAGTAAACCAAAGAGCAAACAAACAAAGAGGGAAAGAAATGAATGGATGGACAAATAAATGGCTGGATGAGTGAATGGCTGAGTGAAGGATTTTCCAGTAAACCAAAGAGCAAACAAACAAAGAGGGAAAGAAATGAATGGATGGACAAATAAATGGCTGGATGAGTGAATGGCTGAGTGAAGGATTTTCCAGTAAACCAGAGAGTTTATGTGCTTTTTATTCTTTTGCTTTTTCTAGACTAACTCATCGGTAGCTACAGAAATTTGGGAAAAGCTACAAACAAGCTACACACAGTCTATTAAAGAAATAAAGGAACTATTAAACACAAAAATGAACTTTGCTAAGACTCTGCACCTCTAGGAATAACCCTCGTAAGCTGGTAAAATATTTCATTCAAGGCAATGATATCCAACTGGTTGGTAGAAGCTGTGGATGGTCACGTAAATTGTCAGCATACAGTGAAAATATTCATTTGGTAACATTCCAGCTGGACTAGTGCACTTATCTACAGTTTAGCACCTTCAGACCCTTCGCATAACAATTGATTTCCCAATATAGTTTGATATGAAGGACAAAAATGTATATTTTACTCATGAGAATTGAATTGAATTCCTTTGTGCTGCCCTCCAAAATAAGCAGCTCTGGAATGAATCCTTTCATTAGAGCATACAGTACCTCTGTTTTTATGACCACATTCTCTTTTTATATGGTTTTAGCCCTCACCTGTATATTTTTATGTTATTAAGAATTCATAGATACCATTAAGAGTCTGTGGTACCCAAAACATTGGTATTGTTTAAGTTGACAATTCTTTTATTAAAGTGGTTTTTGAATGATTTGCTTTTATATGAGGCTAAACCTGTACAAATGAGTCTGTGGTCAAAGGCAACAGCAGTACTTACCAAATGAGAACATTTTCTATTGCTCTAAGGGTTCTATAAACAATTCTAAAACATCAGATGTTAAATATTTGAACTGAAAACAAACAAACGAAAAACGAGAAAACAAAAAATAAACCAGCCAGGCAGTTTCCATAGTTTCAATCAGCTGATAAAAGTTATTGAATCTCTGACATTATCTGTTCCAAATGGTTCCAATAAGCCTGAAGCGTGATGATGTTTTACCCCCGTCTCTAGACCATAATCCTTTTCACATTGCTTTTGTTCTTTAATTATGACTATTGTTCCTGTATTCTCTAAGGAATCCAAAATTTTAATATGAAAGAATTTAAAAAACTATTATGGTCTAGAGACGGGGGTAAAACGTCATCTCGCTTCAGGCTTATTGGAACCCAATGGAAGAGGGGCCACTATACAGAATCCACTGTTAATCCCCTTATTATGGTTGTCAAACACTGACCACCATGTATTGTCAACCAGGAAGAATTCTATTGAGAACTTGTAACCTGAGTTTCAGTCTGCATGAGACTTTTCCATACTCTATAAATCACTGGTCCGTCCCATTCTGGAATATGCATGCCCAGTTTGGGCACCACACCTAGTAAAGGATATCCATGCAATTGAATCTATACAACGAAGAGCGTCACGCATCGCACT